CGCCAGCCGCAAAAGCGGCGCCGGCCGCGAGAGCGCGCATACGCGCGCCTAGGCCGCCACGGCCTGGTGAGGGCGATCCAACCGCAGGCGCCAGCAGCCATGACATCACCAGAGCCGACGGGGCTAATGGTGGCAACAGTGGCGCTGGCAGCTCTGACGATCACCGTAGACTGCCACAAGTTGCAGCAAGGCGCGGACGCATGGAGGGAGGAGATCCTCCACCACCGCCGCAGCCTCAAGCAGAGCCGAGGCCAAGGCCAAGGCTCCCTGATTGGACTCGCTTCGACGTTCAGCTCAGCCTCCAAAACCTGCGCAGCTTCGACCCAGCTGTAGTGCAGCGAGAACTCCGCAAACTCCACCTGAGATGGTTTCATGCCAAGGAGCCAAAAATGCGGATGATTCTAACCAAGGTTGGTCTGGGTGAAACCCGTTTGAGTCTGATCAAAGGCATTTGTGACTCGTGTAGAGAATGTCGAGCCTGGGACAAACCAGGCAACACGGTGATGCCTTCTGTGTCACTGCCAGGACGTTTCAACGAGGAAGTCGAATGTGATCTTTTCTTTTACAAACAGGAACATATTGTTTTTCACATCATCGACCGTTGTATTCGCTGGGCAGCTGGCACAGAGATTCCTGATAAAGCCATGCATACTGTTCTCGATGCCTATCATACGACTTGGATGCAACATGGCCCTGCTAAAATCTTATACTCCGATGGGGAAGGAGCACTGAATAATGATACAGCAAAGGCCATCCTTAAGGCTAAGGGAACAGAGCTTCGTATTCGAGCGCGTGGCCAACACGCTACAACTATCGAAGCTAGGAACGGCATCCTGCGACACCTCTTACACGTGATGGGAGAAGAATTGAATAGATTAAATATTCCTCTCAATTTCACTCGTCTCTTACATGAAGCCTTGTTTGCCAGCAACGCATTTACCTTCTACAATGAAGTGTCTCCGTACAATGCGCTGTATGGCAGACAACCAGCTATGCTTCCCGATTTCCCTGTCTTGGATCATGATCAGTCCGCTGAATCATCAGATCACTCAAGGGAGGAAACAATCAGGAGGGTTAGTCTGGAGGCAATCACGCAGGCCACTGCGGTTGCCAAGACGAACAGGGCTCTCCGTACGAAGACTACTGCTACGGGTGAATTTCACTACAAAGAGGGAGATCTCGTGGACTATCATCGCCCGACCACCACGAAAGACGACTGGGGTGGATGGAGTGGTCCATACCCGGTCATCCGCAACGAACCTGACCGAGGCCAGGTCATCGTGAAGGTCGGCAGTCGCGAAGTGCGAGTACAGTATCCTGACACACGACACACACTGTACATCGAAGCACTTATGGTCCGCGAGATAGGATCGGACAATACGGCCCTTCGGACAGTATTGGCCTTTATTGCCGGTCTGCCAGCGGGGAAACCCGCCATGACTTTCGGATATCTACCAGCGAAACAGGGTCGGCTGCAGATGACTGCTGCGAGCCGACTTTCGCCTAAGGTGCACTTGGCTCTTCAGTACCTCATACGCAACTACTTTCGTATTGAAAACGTTGTTGCTGTACGACTTGCCAAGAGCCTGACGAAGTTGCCTGCTGCACCCTATGCAGACAGCTGTACACTAGTGCACTATGATAATGATGTGACCCCTGGTTTTCATTACTATGAAGCTGATGGCACTGCCTTGAACATCTATGACATCACAGGATCTACACACTCACGCATCATCCAGTGTCTTAAATCCAGGAAGCCGTCTGCTGGATTTGACCAAGACCTCACTAAGTTTGAGGAACTCGCTGATGGTCCACCACCAAGCGAATCACCTCCAGCAGCTGCTCCTGAGGAGCCTCCTACGGATAACGATGGTCGGCTCCCGACCATCATAGAGGAAACAGAAGAAGATCTGGATGCTTTTGTCTTGAAGTCGTGGTATGCTGAACTGATGGATGACAGAACACTCCTTGAAGCTGACACAGAGGAAGTCATGCATACAGTTCCCACATACATGACAGACACACAGTGTGTGTTAGTCTCTACGACCTGTGAAGATGTGCAAGGCCACTTGCCGGAGCGGGGTCACCCGCCAGGATACGACATGGACACTTCTTACTACGTTCCTTTATGCTCCACGGATCCGGATAGCAAATATGATCTGGACTCCGATGAGCACGGGAAGTACATCGAGCTCTGCTTCACTGCAGACATGTCCAAAGTCGTCCTGTCCGAGCAGCAACGCCGATTGTTGGATGACAGCAGCGTCACAACTATGCGAGTATACGTTAGCGCTGCCTCCAAACGTGCCGTGGTCGTCAAGGAAGACGATCTACTCACGAAGGCCGACATCCAAGCAAATCCGGTCAAAGTTTCCAAAGCCCTTTACACAGAATTGAAGACTTGGCTTGACAACAAATGCTTCCAGATGACTGACTTAAGCAAGGCGTCTAACATCATGACGTCACGCTACGTATACAAATGGAAGTTTGTCAAGAACGAAAAGGGCGAAATGGAAAGGACGATCAGGTTACGCTTGGTACTCCGTGGCTTCATGGACCTTGAAGCCTTTGATGTCGAAACCTTCTCTGGCACGGCAAGGAGGTCAAGCCAGAGACTGCTCGCAAGTTCTGCTGCATGCAACAAAGCTTGGATCATCGCTTCCCTGGACATCAACATGGCTTTCTTGAAGGGACTGACCTATGGCGAGCTCGCCGCGGCAACGGGCGAGAAAGAGCGTGTGGTGTGCTTCACACTACCACCTGGGTCAGCAGCTGTCCTTCGCACACTGCCAGGCTTTGAGTCATATGACGAATCAAAGCATTGTCTCCGGTGTCTGAAACCGGGGACGGGCACGAAGGATGCTCCCAGGGCATTCTCGCTGAAGCTCAGGTCCATCACTAGGAGCTTTGGGCTACAGCCTACTTCATACGACGAAGAGTTCGAGATGAGCCCAAACCTCTTGACAGCCAAGCACGTTGATGACATCAATATGACTGGGAAGGAAGAGGCTATTGACAAGTATGTCAAGTGTGTTGAAGATACGTTTGGGAAGTGCAAACTGAACAAGCACACATACACAAACTGTGCCGTTCGGTACAACAAGACCGATGATGGGAGCGTCACTCTTGATCAGGACGAATACATCAAACAGCTTCGTCCTATCACACATCCAGAACTCACAGGAGCTGATCCTGAGAGCAAAGCGACAAAGACGATTTCTGATATGTTCGTCAGTCTTCGTGGCGCTCTAGCCTATGCGTTGATCACGCAGGTATGGCTGATGGTCTATGTTGTCTCACTACAACGTATCCAGGAACCGACAAACATCCAGGTACGACGACTAAACGCGGTTACCAGAAACTACAGGCAGGTCCGAAGAAGATCGTGTATCAAGCTATGACCCCAACAGGAGAAGTCGACCTGCATAGCGATTCTGGCTATCGTCGTCTCAACGGAGATGAAGACGACGAAGTCAAAGGCTATGGTATCCGCGGGGCTAACCTGCTGAGGCGTGGCCACACGCAAGCGGGGAAACCCGTCGTGCACCTGGTGGACGCATACTGCAAGTCTCATCGACTGCAGGTGCGTTCGAGCTACTCTGCGGAAACACTGGCAGCAGCCCACAACTTGGAAGACTGCTACCCGACCATTGTAACGCTCCACGAGCTACACTCGGGACCATTGACCCCCACACAGTTAAAGAACATATTGGAAATGGGTGGTCTATGTATCAAAGTCACTCTGACTATTGATGCCGAGTCTGTCTTCAAGTCTTTGTCTAGCAAAGATCTGAAGAAGCCCACAGAATGTACTCTGCTTGGGCACATCAGCTGGATCCGCCAGATGATGGAACGCGGAATCGTGGAAAGCGTCCAATGGTGTGACACGCGGGATATGACTGCCGATGGTCATACCAAAGGTAGTATTGACCGCGCGTTGCTCCTACAAGTAATGGCCGGCCAGCAATCCTTCAAGCACGAGCTGAAGAAACATACGCCGTATAGGGCGGGCAGGTCGTCTCAGGACGGCCCTGCCTCCCGAGCCAGCGGGGAAACCCGCGGGCAGGTGCGCTTTAGTAGCGAGGAAACTCGCCGGTAGCGAGGCTACTCGCGCGCCCTTTCCTTGTAGGCAGCCGCTGCTGCTTAGCACTGTTTTTCCGCATAATGTAGAAGTGCGGTACCTGCTCGTCTCCTCCCCCTCCGACTTTAAACGGAGAAGGTTAAAGGCGAGGTATAAATCGAGCATGTACCGCTGCCGTGCCTGGCTCAAGCCGGGCCCGGCCAAATATATGACTGTGCCTCACTGAGGCGCACGACTTGCATCAGAGATCGGAAAATACCTTTTCCATTGACGATGCCCATCCTATCCTTTACTCCAGATCCCATGCTTCGTCTCGCTCTCTTGCTCATGCGATATGAGCCAAAGCCTGGGATATGGCAACGCTTAAAGCGTAACACATACCTAAGCTTACCAGCTTGTTTTCGACTCGGGGACCCCCAGGGGCCGCCCCGCGCGCGCGAAGCTGAATTATTGTACAGCAGTTACAGGAGATCTTAGCACGCCTCTGGCCGGCGAATGGCCTCCTCCGCGCAGAACGGCGCGCATATCGGGCATGCGGGCCCCGAGGAGTTATAAAGGGCCACCCCGGGGGCAGGCATCCCTTCCCCCTCTCCCTTCCTCAGGAGGGGCCCCCTCCCCCCACCTCCTCCCCCAGCGGGCCTGGACCTTCCTGTGACACCCCCGCCATGGTATATCGGAAAGGATGTCCCGCCATGGTATCGGAGAGGATGTGCGGCAGAAGAGGAGGACTGCACTACATGGGGCGCTCGAGCGAGGGCCTCGCCTTCGAGGGATCGAGGGGTTGACGTCTCTTCCTCGGCGGACGGCCAGTGGAGGGCGGCGGAAGCAAAACGGGGGCACCTCCAAAGGCGGAAACCACTGGAAGGCTGGCGGAAGTAGAGGATACCCATCAAAGAGATGACAACGTTTGGCTGTTCAGGGCTTCCGGAACCCGCCACATGTCATGTGTGCACAATCACACGAGTAGCCTGGACACTCGCGCGAGTTGCGTACGATGTGGGAAGAATGCCCGTCGCCCCGCTGCGCGCACCGGCGATCACAGTCGCGAGGTGGTTGTTTTTGGTATTACATAATATCTGTGCAGGTAAGCGGTGTCATCGAGCATTGCCCTGGCTCCACAGATTCTTAGAAGGTCCCTGTCTGATGGACTTCAAGCGGTCGAAGTTTCCCGGCTTTTTTGCTTGGGGCGGACGAAACAGGGGAATCGGGATCGGGGTGGGTGCGATTTCTGCTGCATGCAGCTGGTTTCAGCTCCGCCAAGCACATTCCTGGATACGCGACCACCTCTGGCGCAGGGGTTTGCCCGGAAAGCCAGCTGCATGTAGCTGATTCGCCAACCCCCCCTTTGTTATCGCCCCGTTTCGTCCATCCCGATTGCTGCGCCCTTCTGTTTAGTTATCCACAAGTGCCCTGGCTCACCGTTTCAAGTTTCAGCGCGAGGCCGTGGATAGATGTACTATTTGTCCACCCGCCTTTTCTCGCTCTCTCCTTTCCCGTTCGTGCCAACTGGACCCCGCCTCCACAGCTGCTCGTTATGTGACCGTGTGTTTGCTGTTTCCCTGTCGCCTCTCCGGCCTTTCTGAGATGCATTGTCGTTGATACGCTCGGGTGTCAAAAAAGCCTACCCAGATGGACACTCTTTCTTTCTGGCGTTGACAAAGTATTCTGGACACGAGGATCCCGTAAGCAGCAGTGGCTCCACACCGCTTGATTTGCATACGTAGCCTCTTGGAAACCTTCCAAGATGGTACACGAGAGCCACGGGATGGTGGGAAGAGGCCCCGAGCAAGGCCCAAAACACCTTAAGAGGGTACCAACAAATGTCACAAAGGTGTGGTTCCAAGAGCCCCCAAAAAGGTCCGCGAAGTGCCTCCGACATGCGAACATCGTCACCACAGCTGTTGGTTTTCGTGCGTGTTCGGCGCGTTCCGCTTATTTAGCTCACCTTGGCTCCGAGAGAGGCCGCAGAGGCTTCCCAGATAGTCCCGATGTCTCCAACGAGCTCCGAAGAGGAGCCGAGGCGTCCCCAAGATAGCCCCGCTTGGCTTCCATGACGGCCCCTCTGCGGCACAATCCACCCGTCCTATTGCTGTCCCAGGAGTCCCGCAGACGGCCCCCCGACCGCCGACCCTCAAAACCACCCAAGAGGTTCCAGAGACACTACCCCCCAACAGAAATACCAAGCTGCTTCGAAGAGAGCGCCTAATGAGGCCTCCAAGAGGCCCGGAGAGGGCCCCAACATGATCGACCCACGAACCCGGAAAGGAATATAGAAACGTAAGGCATTGCAACATTTCAAAGACACCTGATTTGGCGACGGGCACATGCAATGCTGAATGTATCGATGATGATGTACTGTGCCGAGGGCTGTGCTGTGCTACGCCGTGCTGAACTGCGATGTGCCATGCCGCGATTGTGCTCTATATATAGCGTTGTGGATCGAGTCCTCCTTGGCATCCGAGTCCTCACCGAACTGATCTGGAGCGTAAGCTCGAGCTGCCTGAGCAGATGGCAGCTGCCCCAGAACTAATCGACAGAGGGAACATGCCAGGAGGACGCGCCGCGGAACGTCCCAAGGGACGCGCCAGGCGACGTGCCAGGGGACGTGCCATGGGCACGCACCGCGGGACGTGCCAAGGGGACGCGCTACGGAACGTGCCAATGGACGTGCCGAGGGACGTGCCAGGGGACGCGCCGCGCGACGTGCCAGGTGGACTCGCCACGGAACGCGCCAAGGAACGTGCCAAGGTGCATAGCTGAGTGTATCGATCTTGATGTACCGTGCCGACGGCTGTGTTATGCTGGGCCGTGCTGAACTGCGATGTGTCATGCCGCGATAGTGCTCTATATAGCATTGTGGATCGAGTCCTCCCTGGCATCCGAGTCCTCAACGAACTGATCTGGAGCGTAAGCTCGAGCTGCCTGAGCAGATGGTAGCTGCCCCAGAACTAATAGACAGAGCGAACATGCCAAGAGGACGCGCCGCGGAACGTCCCAAGGGACGCGCCAGGCGACGTGCCAGGGGACGTGCCATGGGCACGCACCGCGGGACGTGCCAAGGGGACGCGCTACGGAACGTGCCAATGGACGTGCACCGCGCGACGTGCCAGGGGGACTCGCCCCGGGACGCTCCGCGGAACGTGCCAGGCAACATGCCAGGCTGCAATGCTAAGGGTATCGATATTGATGTACCGTGCCGAGGGCTGTGCTGTGCCTGGGCGACCTGGACACGTGAAAACACGCGTTTCGCTCAAGACGTTGTCAGCACATCCTCATGCTAGACATCCGCCTGGGCAACCTGGACACGTGCAAACAAGCGTCTCGCTCGAGACATCCTCAACACATGCTCATGCTAGACATCCGCCTGGGCGACCTGGACACGTGAAAACAAGCCTCTGGTTCGAGACATCCTCAACAAATCCTCATGCTAGACATCTGTCTGGGCAACCTGGAACCAAGCGTCTCGCTCGAGACATCCTCAAGACCTGGGCACGTGAAAACAAGCAATCCACTTGAGAGATCCTCAGAATTCAGGTCCCCAGGAGAGGATAATCTATAACACAAAACAAGCGTTTCGCTCGAGACATCCTCAACACATTCTGAAAAATAAGCGTTTCGCTCGAGACATCCTCACATTTTAATGCGCCTGCCCTACGCGACCTCGTTATTTACCGCAAAAGAAATTCGCCGGCCCTACAGCCGTCAAAACCGGGGGTAGACCTACTAAAAGAGAACCCTGAGCCTATGCCCTTTCCGGGAAAAAGGCGGAACAAGAAGAGCCGAAGTGTCCAGCCACGCGCGGGCTGGGGAGCCGATGTTTTCAATCACTGGAGATTCGAGCTCCCTTCAGGCGGAGGAGTTCGTGCCCTTCGAGCCCATGATGGTCCTCCTGCCCGAGGCGGCGGAGCTCGCCGACTGAGGTTCCCTTCCGGCCAGGCCCCTGGAGGCCCGCTGGCGTGTGCCGCCTTCGGGCCGCTATCACTTGATCGTGGTGAGTTTTGCCTCTGGCCCTCGAGGAAGTTGTGGTGGCGACTTGCTGCAAGCCTCTTACGGTCGGGAGCTTTGGCTCGGCGGGTCGCGCCGCCAGTTCTGGCCCACCGCGCGCGACACGCCAACCACTTCCCAGTCCTTGAGCGTCAACGTCCCGAGCCTGTCTGAGCCTCTCGCCCCGCGGAGCGGAGCAACACGCTGTCCGCTCGCAGGGCATAGCGTGTCGCAGGGCCGCCGCCATGACACGCTAAGCAAAAGTTGCTGATTGTATCGAAGAGGGGTGTGCAGGACGTGCTCCTTTGGATGTTGTCAGGAGTCATATCTTCAGGCTCGAAGAGGCCTTGGAAGCTTTTCAAGACGAGCAGCTTGTTGCTTGGTCTGTCGATTGTGTTGTTGCTTTGTCGGTCGATCCCCTTTGGGCCCTCCGCAAGCCTGGGGGGCCGTTGCCGACCTCATGAGGCCTCGGGCCAGACCCTTGGGGCAGAGGCAAAACTTGCCATTCCATTAATTTCGATAGTTTAACATTTTCTTCTCCTTCTCGCTTCTTCTTGGCCTCTTGCTTTTCCTCTCCAGCTCCTGCTTATTCCCCCGCTTCCTCCGTGTCGTCGTCGTCGTCGTCGTTGTCCTCCTCCTCGTCTTTCTCCTTCTCCTCCTTGGTCTTCATGCTGACGCGGCTTACGTTAGGTGTCATCGGCCTGAGAGTTATTTTAAGCATAAGCGTTGCGCTCTGGTGCTTATTAAGTCTCATTAGCTTCAACTAGCTTCGGCTAAGTTTGGTCATTGAGCCCGGCCTTGCCCGCGCTGCTGCGTTTTGTCCTCGTTAGTCCAGCCGGACTTGCGCCAGTCCAGCGCAGTCCAGCGCATTGCGTTGTAGCCCTGCCGCCCCGGCCGAACTGCGCGCTAACGGGGCCCTGGCAGCCCGGCCCAAATCAATGCATGCCAGCTTTGTCTGTCCAGCCGGACCTACGTCAGTCCAGCTCAACTCAGCGCACTTCGGCATGGCCCAGGTCGCCCCGGCGGACCCGTCTGCTAACGGAGCTCGCGCAGACGAGCAGGCATCGCATCCACTCGTCGGGCGTCAGCAGTGTCGCCCGCTCATGATGCGGGTTCGCGGCGTCTCCGAACCGCGGAGAAATTGGCCAGGCCCTCGTCCAGACGCGCCAGTCCCAGTAGCCCGGCTGCCCGCGTCGTCCACCGAGCAAAGGGCGTCCAAACGGGGCCCCCGCGCGGATTCGACCCCAGCGGCCACCGAGCGCTGCGCGGCCCGATCGAACCGTCAACGCCGTGACCCCTGCGGCGCCGCTTTGCTCATTATTGAGGTCTCTGGCTTCTGGTTCAAACGTATGAAGCGCATCTCTTCGGCGACGGCGTCCGCAGTGACAGGCGGGGCGACGGGCGCGTCGGAATCCGGGGCCCACCTTGCAACCGCACTTTTGCAGGGGTCGTCTTCGCGAGGGCCGCGTTGGATGTTGTTGAGGCGGCTGCCTGAGCATGGCGCGCGGCGGTCGATCTCGAGCTGAGCAGTGCTCGCAGGCGCGCATCCCTTTGCACGCGCTCGCAGATCGCCCGCGGCGGGGGCGGCGACGAAGCCGACGACGAAGGACCGAGTATTTGGTTTGCCGAGACGGGAAAGGTTGAAACGCGGGGCTGGAGTGGGCCGTGTCGCGGCGCATTTTTAATGCCGCGCACGGATGTCCCTCGGGCCGGCCAGGCCGCGTCGTTGTTGCCCCCCGCCCCCTGTTGACCTCCTGGAAGACATCTACCGATATTGCGCACAATCTCACGAGGCTGGCATGGAGGAGCGCGCCGAGCTGACACTTCGTCCAAACGTCGCAAGCAGCAGGCGCATATCGGCGGGCGGGGGAGTGCGGCCACAGGGCCAAGCGGAGGCCCGAGTTCAGTCTTCCGCGCCAAGGTGGTCACGGCCGAGACAGCGCGCAGCGACCGCGGCGCCCGCGGCTTCTCCGCCGCGGCAGGGCCGCCAGCACTTGGCATCGGGTCGCTTCTGCTCTCTGCTCTCTGATGGTATATGCTGCCCTCTGCTGCTCTCTTCTGTGGTCTGCCCTCTCGCCGCGCGCCCTGCGACCCGCGCCCAATCAATATCCGGCCCCCCGTTGCCAGTTTAACATGCGCAAGCTTTGGGGCAGGCCCCGACCAGCGACTGCGCGGATGCGATCTAAACGCGCGCGGGGAACATTGCGACGTCTCTAGGCGGCCCCCGATGGACGCGTCAGTTGGGCGCTTGCCACGCCGCGGCGTCCAGCGCGCGACGTTGCTGCAGCCCTCCCCGAGTGCTCGCTGCACCTCGCAGCGCGCGCGCGACGCTGGGCGCCCGTCCAGGATGCGCCATGCCATGCCGCGCTGTCCGCCTAACCGGGCTGGAACCGCGTGCTCCGTCGACGCCGCAGCCCGGGGGGCATCCTGCCACGCGTTCGGGAACGCCGCGCCGCGATCCCAGCCTCCAGGGAGGGGGGAGAAGAGGGGTGGGGGCAAATATAGCGCCCCGCAGTTGCAGATAAGAGTGAGAGGGCGGGCGCGGGGTGGGTCGCGGGGTGGGTCGCCGCGGGGCGGGTCGCGGGTGGGTCGCGGGCGGGTCGCGCGGCGGTTCGCGCGGCGGTTCGCGG